ACACTCACACACACACACACACACACACACACACACACACACACACACACAGTAACACACACACACACACACACACACACACACACACACACACTCACAGTAACACACACTCACAGTAACACACACACACACAGTAACACACACCCTAACACACACACACTCACAGTAACACACACACACACACACACACACACACACACACACACACACACTCACAGTAACACACACACACACACACACACACACAGTAACACACACACACACACACACACACACAGTAACACACACACTCACACACTCACAGTAACACACACTCACAGTAACACACACTCACAGTAACACACACACACACAGTAACACACACCCTAACACACACACACATCACAGTAACACACACACACACACACACACACACACACTCACACACACACACACACACACACACACACACACACACACACTCACAGTAACACACACACACACACACACACACACACAGTAACACACACACACACACACACACACACACACAGTAACACAGCCCCAGCATTATTCCGCGTTCTGTTTGTCTTGTAATCGCGACTTGCAGCTCGAGAGTGACGTCACATCCGTGTTGGAAAACGAGTAACCGCGGGTTTTTGTGCCTCCAGGAAAGTCGCTATAGTGATTATCTGGTTTACGGTGCACCCACTGCGGATTTCACACGTTCATTACATATTACACAATCATATCTCACAGTTTGATATCTGAATACTCCGTTCTCATTAACGTTAATAACGTTACCGTGGTTACTGCTCTGCTTTCTGCTCAAGACTCAGCGCTGTTGTCATAGCAACATGGAGCGTCTCGAGCCACTTTCAGCTGCACGAGCTACAAAGTAACTAATGAGGCGTATTTAACTCATAATAAGACTGTAGCAACATGCCTATAGGTAACAGTGTACAGTGCTGTGGGTACGACTTCTTCATTTGTTACAACAAAGACAAAAGTACTTAAAATAGTAGAAAACCACAATGTTTACTACGTGTGATACTCGGAGTAGCCATCTTGGTAACTGAACTCGGGTCCTCTGAGTGCAGACGAGTTGACGAGTCGTATATACGACCTTGGGGGCATTCTGTTTGCAACTTCCGGTACGTGAGTCTGGAAACCGACAAGCAGATCGAGTTTGGTGGACAAAAAGAGTCCCGCCCTGAACACGTCTATGTGATAATATTCAGTAACAGTGAGAGCGCCACCTAGTGGCGAAAGGAAATGTTATGTTTTATACTTCCATGTTCTCCTCCTAGCAGGAAGATCAGATCGAGCTGAAATTTAGTCGGGAAATGCAAAACATGTTGTTGATGATATTTCATGATTGTGGTGAGTTTTTGTGAAAGGGTGTGTCTGTGGCGTCAAACGTGGACGCACATAAATTTGCTGTGTGTACATTGTCCATTCGGCTCCAAACTTCACTTTTTTGATAAGATGTGATAATTTTCACTAATATTGAGAGCGCCACCTAGTGGTATCCAGCGGAAGTTCTGTCAGCGGTCCCTTAGGATGATGACGATGACATCTTATGAATCTTAAGAATTTGCATGGAACCATGTTGTCAGCGAAAATCAGCTTTTCTGTTAACATTTTAACACTTTTTGGGGGAGCTAAACATGCCTAAAAACTCATGAAACTTTGCACAAAAGTTGGTGAACGCTAAGGTATTGTCTTGGTTCCGTACATGGGCGTCGCAAAATGGCTTAGCCACGCCCCCAAGAATCAGCCCCCAAGACACGTACGGCCGACATGTACGAAAATTGGTACACATGTGTGTCATGATGGGACAAGCAAAAAAGCCTCTTGGACCCATACCCCAAACCCAACAGGAAGTCTGCCATTTTGAATTACGTGGTCATTTTCAGCGGTTTTTCAAACTCCTCCGAGGGAATTTATTGGATCTGCTTCAAAATTGGTCAGTACAGTCAAAAAACATTGCTGAATAAAAGTTGTGCTATTTGTGACTGTACATTGAACGGCGTGTCCGTGGCGTACCATCAAAGTTGGCCATTTTGAATATAATCCAATCCAATCCAACTTTATTTGTTAAGCACTTTAAAAACAACCAAAGTTGACCAAAGTGCTGTACAGGAGAATAAATAAGACATCATAAATGTAAACAGTGATGATGATGATGAAGACCACTGTGAGGAACATAGACAGTGATGGTGATGATGAAGACCACTGTGAGGAATATAGACAGTGATGGTGATGATGAAGACCACTGTTAGGAATATAGACAGTGATGGTGATGATGAAGACCACTGTGAGGAATATAAACAGCGTGGCAGATAACACGGACGAAGTCCGACGGCGATGAGCTCGATGTCCGGGCTGCAGACGCTCTTTCACACAGACGTGCCCGGCGTTACACCAGCTGTTGTTGATGAGCACGGACAGTCCCCCTCCTTTCTTCATGCCGGTCGCGGTGGTGTCCCTGTCGGCTCGAACCGTCTGGAAGCCGGGAATGGTGACGTTGGAGTCCGGTATCTGCTCATGTAGCCACGTTTGTTTCCAGTGATGACTGCAGGGATGAAGACTTTAAAGCTCCTCTTCTTCATCCTCCGTTTAACCCCCGCTCTGCAGCCTCACCGTCTCCTCCTCAGCTCCTCCGGTATGGAGGGTCTCTCTCCAGTCAGGATGCTCGGGTACCTCAGGGCGATCATCTGGTCGCGGGTGTAAACAATGCGGCTCCCCGTCGCCATGGAGACCAGTGCAAATAAAAAATAAAAAATGCTCAAAAACGCCAAAAAAGTATTTAGGCGACATGAACAAAGTAGTAAGGCAGTCCTAGAGGTCTGCTTTATGTGGGAGTTAAAGGACAAATCCTGATCAAAGATAACTCCAAGATTCCTGACAGTGGTGCTAGAGGCCAAGTTAATGCCATCTAGAGTGACTATATCTTTAGACAATGAGTCTCTAAGGTTTTTGGGGCCAAGAACAAGAATTTAGTTTTTTTCTGAGTTTAACATCAGAAAATTGCAGGTCATCCAGGATTTTATGTCCTTAAGACGTTTGTAATTTAGATAATTGATTAATTTCATCGGGCTTGATTGATAGATAAACACAACCCGTACTGCAGCTACCGCTATGCTAGCTATTGCTGAGCCGCTGTCTGTGTCTGTTGTTAATAAAGTTGTGTCTGTGGCTCTCAGGGTCACCTGTACCTGCTGGTGACGGACCAGGGCTTCCTGCAGGAGGAGGGTTTGGTCTGGGAATCTCTTCATAACGTCGAAGGAGATGGAAACTTCTGTGACTCGGACTTCCGGCTGTGTCATCCTCCGCAGAGAGCTCCGCCCACCGCCGTCCTGCCGCCCACCGCCCAGGAGCAGCAGAGACAGATCGACCAGGTGAGTGCCGCCGCCGTCGCCAGGTGTGTTTACCTGCCGCCGTTCACACAAGACTGACCCTGTGGTTGCTGTTAGGACTACCTGGTGGCGGTGTCCCTGCAGCAGCAGCAGGGCGGGGCCCCGGGGCCCCTCAGCGACCTGGAACTGGCCCGACAACTCCAACAGGAGGAATACCAGCAACAGCAGCAACTCCAGCAACAACAGCAACAACAGCAGCAACAGCAGCAACAGGGGTCAGTGCAGGCGGCACAGCAGGTAACAGCGAGGGGCCGCAATCACCTGCACACACATTACGAGTTAAAGTGTAATAAAAACTTTATTTATAATCCCTTAAAATTACACAACTAATACTTTTACTGTCACAGTAAACTCAAATCTAAGAGTTTATATATATATATATATAGGGAATACACAGGGAATACACAGGGAATGGACAGGGAATACACAGGATATATACAGGGAATACACTGGGAATATACTCGGAATATTCACGAATATTCGGGAATACACAGGGAATATACTCGGAATATTCGGGAATACGCAGGGAATACACAAGAAATATACCGGGAATATACAGGGAATACACAGGGAATATACTCGGAATATTCGGGAATATGCAGGGAATACACAAGAAATATGCCGGGAATATTTGGGAATATACTGGGAATACACAGGGAATATACTCGGAATACACAGGGAATATACCGGGAATACACAAGAAATATACCAGGAATATACAGGGAATATACTCTGAATATTCTGGAATATTTGGGAATATTCGGGAATATACCGGGAATACACTGGGAATATACAGGGAATACACAGGGAATATACTGGGAATACACAGGGAATATTTGGGAATGTACCGGGAATACACTGGGAATATACAGGGAATACACAGGGAATATACTGGGAATATACAAGGAATAGACCGGGAATACCCAGTGAATATACTGGGAATACGCAGGGAATACACAAGAAATATGCCGGGAATATTTAGGAATATACTGGGAATATACAAGGAATAGACCGGGAATACAAAGTGAATATACAGGGAATATTCGGGAATACACAAGAAATATACCAGGAATATACAGGGAATATACTCTGAATATTCTGGAATATTTGGGAATATTCGGGAATACACTGGGAATATACAGGGAATACACAGGGAATATACTGGGAGTACACAGGGAATATTTGGGAATATACAAGGAATAGACCGGGAATACCCAGTGAATATACTGGGAATACGCAGGGAATACACAAGAAATATGCCGGGAATATTTAGGAATATACTGGGAATATACAAGGAATAGACCGGGAATACAAAGTGAATATACAGGGAATATTCGGGAATATACCGGGAATACACAAGAAATATGCCGGGAATATTTGGGAATATACTTGGAATATACAGGGAATATTCTGAAATACACAGGGAATATTCGGGAATATGTGGGAATATACCGGGAATACACAGGGAATATTTGGGAATATACAAGGAATAGACCGGGAATACGCAGGGAATATTCTGAAATACACAGGGAATATTCGGGAATATGTGGGAATATACCGGGAATACACAGGGAATATTTGGGAATATACAAGGAATATACAAGGAATAGACCGGGAATACGCAGGGAATATACTCGGAATATTCACGAATATTCCGGGAATACACAGGGAATATACTCGGAATATTCGGGAATACGCAGGGAAAACAAATATACGGGAATATACAGGGAATACAAGGGAATATACTGAATATTCGGGAATATGCAGGGAATACACAAGAAATATGCCGGAATATTTGGGAATATACTGGGAATACAAGGGAATATACTGAATACACAAATATAGGAATACACAAATATACCGGAATACACAAAAATAACCAGAATATACAGGAATATACTGAATATTCTGGAATATTTAATATTAATATAGGAATACACTGGAATAACAGGAATACACAGGAATATACTGGGAATACACAGGAATATTTGGGAATGTACCGAATACACTGGAATATACAGAATACACAGGGAATATACTGGGAATATACAAGGAATAGACGGAATACCCAGTGAATATATGGGAATACGCAGGAATACACAAAAATATGCCGGAATATTAGGAATATACTGGGAATATACAAGGAATAGACGGGAATACAAAGTGAATATACAGGAATATTCGGAATATACCGGGAACACACAGGAATATTCTGGAATATTCGGGAATAGACAGGAATATACTTGGAATATTGAATATTTGGAATATTCAATACACGAATACACAGGAATACCCAGTGAATATACTGGGAATACCAGGAATACACAAGAAATATGCCGGAATATTTAGGAATATACTGGGAATATACAAGGAATAGACCGGAATACAAAGTGAATATACAGGAATATTCGGAATATTCGGGAATATTCCGAATACACAGGAATAATGGGAATATTTGGGAATATACCGGAATACGCAGGGAATATACTCTGAATATTCGGAATATACGGAATATTCAGGAATACAAGAATATTCGGGAATATACTGGGAATACACAGGGAATATTCTGGAATATTTGGGAATATACAAGGAATAGACCGGGAATACACAGGAATATATCGAATATTCTGAATACACAGGAATTTACTGGGAATACACAGGAATATACTGGAATACGCAGGGAATACACTGGGAATATACTGGGAATAAACAGGGAAGATACAAGGAATAGACCGGGAATACAAAGTGAATATACACAGGGAATATTCGGGAATATACAGGAACACACAGGGAATATTCTGAATATTGAATAAAGGAATATACTGAATATTCTGAATACACAGGAATATTGGGAATACACAGGAATACAAAGAAATAACAGTATTGGGAATATACCGGGAATACACAGGGAATATTTGGAAATATACAGGGAATATACAAGGAATAGACCGGGAATATACTCGGAATATTCTGGAATATACCGGGAATACACAGGGAATATTCGGGAATACACAAGAAATATGCCGGGAATATTTGGGAATATACTAGGAATACACAGGGAATATACTCGGAATATTCTGGAATACACAGGGAATATACCGGGAATACGCTGGGAATATACTCGGAATATTCGGGAATGCACAGGGAATATACTGGGAATACACAGGGAATATTTGGGAATATACCGGGAGTATTTGGGAATATACCGGGAATACACAGGGAATATTCGGGAATATACTGGGAATACACAGGGAATATACCGGGAATACACAAGAAATATGCCGGGAATATTTGGGAATACACAGGGAATATACTGGGAATACACAGGGAATATACTTGGAATATTCTGGAATACACAGGGAATATTCGGGAATACACAGGGAATACACAAGAAATACACCGGGAGTATTTGGGAATATACAGGGAATATACAAGGAATAGACCGGGAATATGCAGGGAATACACAAGAAATATGTCGGGAATATTTGGGAATATACAGGGAATATACAAGGAATAGACCGGGAATACACAGTGAATATACTCGGAATACACAGGGAATATACCGGGAATACGCAGGGAATACACAAGAAATATACCAGGAATATTTGAGAATATACCAGGTATACTGGGAATATACAGGGAATATACAAGGAATAGACCGGGAATACGCAGGGAATACACAAGAAATATGTCGGGAATATTTGGGAATATACAGGGAATATACAAGGAATAGACCGGGAATACACAGTGAATATACTCGGAATACACAGGGAATATACCGGGAATACGCAGGGAATACACAAGAAATATACCAGGAATATTTGAGAATATACCAGGTATACTGGGAATATACAGGGAATATACAAGGAATAGACCGGGAATACACAGGGAATATTTGGGAATACACAGGGAATATATCGGGAATACACCGGAAATATTCGGGAATATACAGGGAATACACAGGGAATATTTGGGAATATACCGGGAATATATCAGGAATATATATTATATGAACAAAGGGAATATTCGGGAATACACAGGGTATATACAGGGAATATGATGATGATGTCATTGTGTTTTCCAGGTCAGAGGTCAAGGGTCACAGCAGGGCGGAGCCCGGAGAAGAGACAAGGACTCAGACTGTGTTGTCCTATAGACTCTTCATCATCGCCATCATCCAAACCTCCCCCCCCCCCGAATACAGTCTCGGGAGGACACACACACACACACACACACACACACACACACACACACACACGCGCACTCTCAGCTCGATGCCAAACCCCCGTCAGTGCTTTCTGTTGTTTGAACTCGGAGCTTCAGTTTCTAAACCATAACTGACGGCAATTGATCACTAATGCTTATTGACCAGCTATTGATAGGAACCGCTGTTGGATGAAGAGCTGACATTAAACCATTAATCGCTGATAGATGGATTTTTGATTGAGTGTTATCGGTCTATTTGTCTAATAATTACTGACCTCATTAAAAAAAAGTTCAACATTCAAATCAATTCAGCAGTTTTAAAGGTTAATCAACAATATTAATAGTTAATCAATCAGGTTTGTCTTTCTAATAAGCCTCAAGAAAACATCTTAAATTCTAAATGAGTTGTTAATAATTAATTCTCTGTATAATAATCCAGTGTTTTCAATGTTAATAAGTGGTTGAAAAATAGATTCCAGAAGGTCAAACTGATTGTAGCTGATCAATGAAGCATTATTGATCAATAATAAAGCCGTTGGTTACCGGTGAAGACTCATTAGAGAGTGGTTCCATCTAACGATGAAGGGAAACCTGTTAATGTTTTATTTTACATGAAATCGCCTTCTGATGGGACCAGTTCCACCAGCAGAGGTCACTTGTTGCTCTAAAGCGCCTCCTCTGATGGGACCAGTTCCACCAGCAGAGGTCACTTGTTGCTCTAAAGCGCCTCCTCTGGTGAAACTGACCCTCTGCAACAAGCTGCTTCACTCAGCCAGGTTAAAGTTCAAAAGTCCCTTCAGATTTCCACCGCTTTTAGCTTCCCATCTAATCCCAGTTAATTAATGCAGGAAAGGAGCTCTGGAGTCCAATTAATGTTCTCGTTAAGTTCGATGATTAAAATGATTATTAACGTTCTTAAAAACTGCAGTTTGCTGCATTTATCTCCTAATTAATGAAACTCTAATTATGGATAAATTATAGTGAAACAGGAATGCCGTCGGCTCCATGAACAGGATGTATTATTCCATATTTAATATCACAAATATCTGACGCTGCGTTCACTGCCAGCTGGTAGAAAACGTCTCCACTGCAGAGCTTATCTCCTTCATTTAAAAAAAATAAATAAAACACAGCAGAACTTCCTGTGTATGGAAGCCTGAAGCGGCCAATAAAGTACGATCAGAGTAATTAAACTACTGATTTTGTTGACTTTTTAGCGATTAAGTCATAAATGGGTCAAAGGTTAGACTTTTCTTATGTCAAATTAAATCATTTTGCCTAAAAACTTGCCTGCCTCAAAATTATGACTTAGTACTTTAACGTTTGCTCTGTCATCAATGTGTTTATTGTTTCTGGGTGTTTCTGGGTGTCCCTACATTAAAACGAGTTGTGGGAACAAACTGGGCGGTGAAAAGCTCCGTGGTTCAGTTGGGATTTCAAATTAAAAGCACAGTTTGGACTAAAACCATGTTGTAACTGATAACTGTTCAAACCTGGTTGTTGATAAAGTTTTTCCTCTTTGGTTTGAAAGTGAACCAAAAGGTCCTGATTAAACACGACTTCTTTAAAGTCAGTTAACGTCTTAAACGGAGTGTCCTCTGATTCCCATCATGCCCCTCTCTGAGTGCTGGGGGGCGTCGCCGGTACTTCCTGTTGTCGTCCGGTGTTTTTCCAGGTGTGACAGCCGAGCTTCAGTGTGACTCTGTACAAGCTTTGTATTTAATTTGTCATGATGTCAAATTATCAGTAAAAACTAAAACAAACTCTGCTGTCGACTGTTTGTTTGTAAACTGAATGTCTCTCGCATCCAAACTAACAATATGTAGTTTAATGAGGCGGTGAAGCAGCGCGGATTATGGGAGTTGTCTTCTTCACCACCACCGTTATTCAGAGGTTGAAACCTTTACAAACACTGAATGAAGCAATTCCACCTTAAATATCAGCTCTAGAGTTTATAGTTTATAGATTATTGATCGCATCAGCTCCATATAGAACATAGCTCTAGAGTTTATACACTGTTTATTGATTATTGATTGTATCAGCTCGCTATAGAAGAGCGTTAGAGTTTAATAAAATTCAAGAAAGATTCATTGAAGCATTAAAAACCACAAAACTCTTAGAAACATGTTTCAGGTTTATTGAATGAGTTTCATGCAGTTTAGTGAGAACAGGTGAGTTTTGGTTCTGTACATGATTGAAAACTTCAGCAGACACAAACAACAACAACAACAACAACGTGAGTGTTTCCACATCCACAGATCTGATTTCTGAGCTGTGAACTGACCTCTGACCGTCAGCCGCTGTGGAATTTCAAAATAAAGTTTCTGCTTTTCCCTTTAAAAAGGAGCAGATTTACATTCTGAGTCTGGAAGAGGAGGAGGAGGAAGAGGAAGAGCAGACGTTTATTAAGTTTGTTCTTATTAAAGTTCCTAAAAGCTGCTGCGTCACATTTAACACATCAAACAATGATAAAGAAAGAAAAGCTGTGTGTGTGTGTGTGTACACAGGATGAAGATGTGTCTGTGTCCAACTCTTCCTCACAGGTTAGTTAATGATGTTACTGAGTCAATGTGAGCAGATTGTGTCTGTAGATTGAAGAGAATCAGAGTCTCACTGATGGTGGAAATAAAGGTTTTACTTCCTTAAAACAGCCATTTTTGAATGGAGTTTGGTGTGACAGTGTGGAGCAGAGGGGATTTGAACCTTAATAATTCCCATAAACTGAGCTGACCTACCTTCTAATAATGAACCTTGGAAACAGCAGAAAGTAAGCGACCTTGGTACCGGCTCTCCCCGATGATTGCTCTCATCTATAGAGAATCCGGTCAATTTTCAAAATAAAATACCCCGTGTGGACTTCGCCTCCTCCTGCTCCGTTACGAGATGATTTATTAAAAACACTGAAATCCAAAGTGTTCTCATGTTGTTGGTTATTTTTCTTCACACAGTGAAAAATAAAGCTCATTTGACGTTAGCATCGTTAGCATTTCTCATTGAAACCAACACAACAGGAAGTCGAACTCGCTGATCGGCTCGATTCCAACAGAAAGTCACAATAACGTGGAACTGAAACGGCATTTAGCGTTAAATGTTTGGTACCAACTGAAGTTTTAAAACCTTTAAAAAATGACAGAAAACATTTTCATTGAGGATAAATGCACTTTAAGAGTTTTTCACATTGAATTACTTGAATGTGTTCGAGCTGATGGAAGGAAGGAAGAAGGCAATGAAAGGTTTTTAATAGCAGGGACGAGTTTCTACAGACTGTGTTCCTCTCCGGACGCACCAGACTTCACTTAGAAAAACAACGATTTTAGCAGCTATTATTTTAAGCGTATTTTAAAAGTATTCCTGCCTTCAATGGTTAAATCAAAGAGACAATATCAACTTTAAAAAGTCACTTTATCTATCACAAATGTGTCTATTGTTTCTCTTATTAAAATATTACAGGAATAACTTGTTCACATTAATACATATTTTGCCCGTGTGGACTGATGTCGGAGAGGGAAACATTCAAACATTAGAACTCGTCCCTGAAGCGGTCAAACGTCAGATATAAAAGCACTTCTCAGGTCCGAGACTCCTTCCTCGTCCCTCCTGTTGCATTGATAAAAGTTTCTGTACGTCTCAAGGCATCAGTTCATTTACATACGTACATCTTCACACGGAAAGAAAGAACAAGAACGAGTATTTGCTATTTAAGTTGCTTAAATCGGGTAAACTTTTAGTCACAGCTGCGTCTTCTTCAAGCGCGGTGGTGTATAAAGTAGCAAGCTAACGGTTAGCATACGGTAACAAGAACAGATCTTCTCCTTCAATAGTGGTTAAAACACGAAAACCTTCGAACGACGGCAACGTCAAATATTGGCTTTATTCCAGTGTTTGTAGTATTTTACAGTTGGTTAGCATTCCCGCTCTCAGCGCAGTTAAAGTGTAAAAATAAGTAATTATGGTAGAAAACAAATATGATAATAAATTGTGCAACTTTTAGTTTCTAAAACGACTTTAACTCACAACCACGAACATTTAGATTAAAACGTCGGCAGACAATGAAGAGGAATTAAGCTAGCGGTAATTTTAGCCGAGTCATTGTCAAACTAACAGCAGTCTGAATATGATTCAGTATTATATTTAATATATAATAATTATTATATACGATAATATATTATATATATTATATTATATCCGAATGTGACGGTGAAATTATTTTATCACTGCTCTAGTACAACAGTTAGCTAGTAGTTAGCATTAACTAAAGTGTGTCTCAGTGTTTTACTTTGGAAAACGGCCTCCGCATTAACAATTAATCCACTTTTATGTAATAAAACAAACTTCAAATGACAAAAACAATATTTAAGAAAAGGTGTTAGCTGTTAGCATGACAACGACTCGGCCCAAATGTTTGCTAGCCAAGTAGTGTTCTTCATCCGCAGTCGACTATAACGTGGGTTTCCTTTAACGTGTCGTCAAGGATATAATATAAAATATAATATAATATAATTAGCCAGTTGTTACCTAGCTCGGTCTATTCCTCGACCGCAGTGGTGAACATTAGCATTAGCAGCTAGCTGTTTTAAAATGTGGAGCGACTCATCCCGAGGAAATCTCTGTTGGCTGTTAACGGCAATATATTTAATTTAAAGAGTTAACAATAAATATAATTTGAATTGTTCCAATGATCAGAAGGTGAAACTTTTATTCACTTAAAATGTAGAAAACACTTAAATGACCAAATATTAAAACGCTTCATTGATTTGTTGGACTAAAGTTTAATGAAGAGGATTATTAATCTCAGAAACTGTTAACAAATATGAAATATTGTCTATAAGAACAGAATTTGTTCCCAAATGTAAAGAAAAACATTTTAAAACTAACAATATAAAAAGGGATTTAAAGTCTAAAATAAATTCATATAGATTTATTTCCCTGTTTTATACTAATTGGAGACATTGTGAAGAAGAATATAATTACAACCAAATATTAAATAAACATTTCGCTGAATCAACTGAATTTATTATATTTAATAAATGTGTAAGTTGAGAAATACCCCGATGAGATTTAATTTGGTCTGTTCAGTTTATTTATTATCATTTTATTTAAAGAAGGAGGCGTGGTCGGAATAAATCAATACATTTTGCTTTGTTACTGTTTGTTACTGTTTATAGATAAAGATGTGTTAGCTCATTGTTAGTGCGCTGTAACCTCACTGGTGTGTCTGTAGTAACGATCAGTTTAAGACACTGGAATAAAGCCGTACCGCGTCACCAGCGTCACCGCCGCACTGAGAACACGTCCGTCTGTTTTATTATAAAAACATTCACATATTCAGGAAACTTTAATCTCCTCATGAAGAAAAATAAACGCTCTGTAAAACAGAAATAAAGAGTCTCTCTCCTGATTGGCCGGAGTTAATCACAGGAATGCATCTTTACGGCCAATCGGGGAGGAAGAGCGGCGAGTTAAATACGCTAATATATCGTTAACGGACACAAACACATTAATTATACACAGATGCACAGTTAGTGGACGACGACGAGGTTCTTGCATAAATCTGCAGCAGACGAATCTTTTCACCGCTCGGAAGCCATTTTGGCTCAAAACCGTTCAAGTAAAATGGAGGAAAACTAAACTACCTTTAAATTCAACACTGCAGCGTTTAGCGTTAGCATCAGGCTCAGCTTTATTCTGAAATTCAACGCGGACCTTAAAAGGAAATTAAAAGGATTCAGAACGAGTTTGAACTTTCCTCCAAGTTTCAGCCCGTTAGCGACAGTCGTTAACGATGTCGCACAATAACGCCGTCAGAAGCATGCTAACGTTAGCGTATTAGCAACCAGTTCGGCTGCGAGTCTAAAGTACGGAAACTTTTATTAAACTTAGTGAGTTTAAGCCCCGCCCACACGGCGTTCAGCTGTGGATCATAAGGAACTGACGAGCCGGACGAACTGTCGTTATTGAATATTAACGGATATTCTGATGTTTCTTTTCCTCGGAGCTGGAAGGTTTTTTTTAAACGTGCAGAAACTTGGAAGAACTGATCGATTGATTGATTGATGGACGATTCAAACTCAAAATCAATATATTTGTGCTTTCTGTCTCTCTCTCGCCGTCCGTCCATCCTGCTGGTGTTCGCTGTTTCATTTAGACTTTTAATAAAATATCTCATGAACAGGAAGCTGTTTACATGCGTTTCTTCAAAATAAAATATTGGGCGATTATTGATTAGTTTCCTCTGCAGATGGGAACCTTTATTCTGAAATTTAAACCATCAGGATGTTTCCTGTTCAATCTTCTGGTGAAAGATCTTTTCTCTGAAATTGAGATTTGAAGCCAAAAGATTTTAATAAGTAAAATAGTTTTTCTTGTAATTCAGAGACAAATGTCCCCTTTCTGCTTCCGTAGTTCTTAATTGCCTTTAATCTGCAGTGAGAACGTTTCCTGCCGATCAGTTCAGTCACGTGTTCGTTAAAGATTAAAACGACTGCGAGGCCTCGTTGAGTCACGTTATCACGAGATACAAACTTCTGTTAGAACAATAAACGCTCTCGTTCTATCGAGTTCTACTGATCTGGTTCTTCTGCCGCCGCGGCAACACGCCGCCACGGCAACACGCCGCCGCAATATCTTTACATTAAAATGACAATAAATCAAACTGACCTCAGAAGTCTCCGTTAGGAAAGAACTGTTGAATGTGAGGAAGACGCTCCATCGACTGTCGGTTCTGGTCGATAAAACGTTGGTTTTGTTCCAGAAACTTTGAAAGTTTTTGTCTCGATACGTTTATCAGCGAATCGTTTACCTTCAGAACGGATCCATAAGTCTTTAAACGCGTCTCAGGATCAACCAAAGTCTGTACTGTCCCAGCTGCCCGCGAACGCAGCACGACGATCAGGAAGAGTCCGACCCGAGTTCAGACGGACGAGATGAAAACAGAGCGGAGGTTGACGAGGATCCCTCAGAGTGGCGGCGGCGGTCACATGATGCCGTTGGTGACGTACTGGAAGGAGTCGTACAGTTTGGTGGTTATTGATCGCATCGATCCGTCAACCAGCTGCTCAACCAACAGCTGCAGCTGCTCCTCCGTCAGAGACATGTGGAACCGCTCCTTCAGACCACGGATGGTGCTGGAGCCGTGGAAACAGGGCAGGTGGGAGCCTGAAATATAGATTATTGATCAGTATACACTGTATCTGTATGGATGATATTGATCAGTATACACTGTATCTTTATGGATTATTGATCAGTATACACTGTATCTTTATGGATGATATTGATCCTGTATTGACAGTCAGACTGTGGACATATGACGGCCTTTAGCTCGTGTTTCTAGAGTTACGTGTTGTTACGAACACGTTAGGAATTGTTAAAATGTGATATTTCTTAAAGGGAGTTTGGTGCAGGGAGCTTTTAGTTGGATTCAAACTGCTGATATGGATCATTGTTAACGTTTAGTCTCCACTACAGAAACACTAGCTAACTGCTGAAGGCTGATCAGGTTGATTGATGCTTTAGTATTGGGAGTATTGATTGGTGATCATGATCAGCTGATTGGTTACCTTGCTGCATGATCTCCACTATCTGCAGCACCTTCTCCATGTGTTTCCTGGCAGCGATGAGACCCTGAAGCATCAACATCTTATAGTAGATAAACATGTCGCCGTCCAGACCGCCCATCACCTGAAACACAACATCAACAACATCAACGTCAACATCGTCATCGTCGTCATTCGGGGCGGCTGTGGCTCAGAGGCAGAGCGGGTCGTCCCCTAATCGGAAGGTTGTGGGTTCGATCCCCGGCTCCTGGTGCCACATGACGAACTATCCTTGAGCAAGATACTGAACCCTGAATTGCTCCTGATTGCTGTGCATCGGTGTGTGAGTGTGGGTGAGTGTGGGTGAAAGGGTGAATGTGTGAGTGTGGGTGAAAGGGTGAATGTGTGAGTGTGGGTGAAAGGGTGAATGTGTGAGTGTGGGTGAAAGGGTGAGTGTGGGTGAAAGGGTGAATGTGTGAAAGGGTGAATGTGTGAGTGTGTGAGTGTGGGTGAAAGGGTGAATGTGGCACGTAATGTAAAAGTGCTTTGAGTGGTCGGAAGACTAGAGAGGTTATCCATGAAGATCACCTGACGTCACTCACATTGTAACCTGTCTGCCGCCATGTTGAGTACCTGATCCAACGGCGTGATTTTTTCAGTAACGGAGTAATCTAATTACTTTTCCCATCGTTGTAACGGCGTTACCGTTACTGAGAATGTAAAGTGGCGTTCCTACAGTTTGGTTGAATGAAGCGGTGTCAGGCTTTCTGACAGACACACAGCTGCTGGGAGAGAGCCGGGTGGAGACACTGAACTCCAACTGCAAACACTCGTCTGTGCTGAGTGGACGTAAATATATTGTTAGCGAGCTAACGCTAGCTGCTCGCTGTCGCTAATTGCCAAATTTAATTAAAGATGATAACATACAATATTTCCAAACAGTATTAATGAAGCAATCAGTGTGAACTGGTTTATATACTGTGTCTAACAGCACGAGTGTAGCTTCAATGTCAGTTTATGGTTAATAACATCTGGTAGAGATTCACATCAGTCGCTAACGTTAGCTGAGGATAATGTTCAAGTTTAGAACCAGTTTAAGATTATAGCCCGAAAACACCACCATCTCTTTTACTGTGTGTGTGTGTGTGTGTGTGTGTGTGTGTGTGTGTGTGTGTGTGTGTGTGTGTGTGTGTGTGCTTTTAATGGTTTTAGTGTAAATGAGTTAATGACACAGCCTCCCCTCTGCTCTCCGTCCTCTAACGTTATTTACCATTATGACTTTAGTAAGTGGTTAGCCAGTCTGTTCACACTCTAACGTTGGCAGACTAACGATGATATTTTTTGAAAGCAGTCGAGGTGTGAAATGTTGTCTGTCGTAGCTGTTTACTGTATCCATACGAATCCGTAAATCGTAGCCAGCTAATGCTCGTCAGTACTGTCTGTGCCGATACTCGGTCGGAACTCAAGATGGCGCTAGTAAGCTGGGAAAAGAGCGGATGATGTAAAAGGTCACGTGACTGATATTCACGAATACAAGTACAGGTCCATTTACCATCATCGTCCTCATCGTCATCATCAGACACCAATAAAGTTCATTAAACACAAACTGCTGTTTACTCACGTCGACGAACTCTGAGGTGAGTTTGAAGGCGGACGTCTCGAAGCCGAGGTTGCGAGGAGAGCTGGAGAGGATGAAGCCGAAGTCGATGTGGATGATGTGACCTTCAGAGTCCAGCAGGATGTTCCCGTTGTGTCTGCAGAGACCAGGTTCAGATCAGAGGGAGCTACTGTTAGCCTAGCTTAGCACACTGACCGGGAGCCGAGGGAAACTGTTAGCAGGTAGGTGAGACAGGTAGCGGTGTGTGTGTGTGTGTGTGTGTGTGTCTCACCTGTCTTTGACCTGCAGCAGGTAGCAGATGAGACTGTACCCGGCGCAGCTCTGGACGAAGTTCCTCTGAGCGGTGAGGAAGGCCTCGGTGGTGAAGCTGCCGTGTTCCTGCAGGAAGTAGTCGAGCAGAGACAGCTGACTCTGTTTACGCACCTGAGGACGGGAAACACAGCGGCACTCTGGGAACTGATCGCAACCAATCAACCAATCAATCAATGTGTAACAGCTGCAGCGACGCAGTACCTGGTGCAGAGAGACGGCGTTGAGGACGGGCTCGATCATACCGCTGTCTGATGACATCACCAGGATCTTATAGGGTTTGATCCACAGAGGAACTCGCTCCTGCGTCCAGATCGACTGCGGACACAAACACACCACTCAGCTTCCTGTCACATGACCTTGGAAACCTCTCGTGACATCAAACGACCATTCATTGATCGGATTAACAGTCGCTGCGCCTTTAAGAACAACCAGGTGAGTCGGTACCTGCAGCTGTCGGAGGACCTGATAGGCCAGCAGCTCCTGTCGCAGGTCGTCTCCACACTTCACAATAACCGACAGCAGCCGCCAGTTGAGCAGGTGACCGTACGGAGAGGCTTCCCTGATCCGCCTGCACACAAACACTTCTTATAAAGACACAGAACACAGGGGGGGTGAGGAGGTGAGGGGGTGAGGGGGGGGGCGACTCACCTGACTTTCTCCTCCCAGGGTTCTTTGAGGGCGACGGCTGACGGGTCCTCGGGGTCTCTCCTGAAGGTGGTCGGAGTGTGAGCGAGGTTCTCCGACAGACGACGTCTTCAGACCCGAATCAGAAACAGAAAGAGTCCGTTTACTCATCCAGTCAGGAACCACAACAACAACAACCGGGGTCAAAGGTCAAAGGTCAAAGGTCTGGATCAACTGAGTGGATGAAGGATTTATTTCCACCAAACCGGAGTTGGTGATTGTTGGAAAGATGTTTTATTTAGTTTCTGTTTACTTAAATGAAAATATAAAACGGTAAATATGTGTGTGTGTGTGTGTCTCTGTGTGTGTGTGTGTGTCTCTGTGTGTGTGTGTGTGTCTCTGTGTGTCTCTGTGTCTCTGTGTGTGTGTGTCTCTGTGTGTGTGTGTGTGTGTGTCTCTGTGTGTGTGTGTGTGTCTCTGTGTGTACCTGATGTCTCCGGCGGCGATGAAAACCGGCTCTTTGCTCTCGAGACTCGTGATGCTGTCGACTGAAAACTGACTGATGTTATCACTGCTGCTGGTCTGAGCCTCGGCCTGCAACACACACACACACACACACAGAGACACACACACACAGAGACACACACACACACACACACACACACAGAGACACACACACACACAGAGACACACACACACAGAGACACACACACACAGAGACACACAGAGACACACACACACACACAGAGACACACACACACACACACACACACACACACACACACAGAGACACACACACACACACACACACAGAGACACACACAGAGACACACACACACACACACACACACACACAGAGACACACACACACACAGAGACACACACACACACACACACACACACACACACACACACACACACACACACACACACACACACACACACACACACACACACACACACACACACACACACACACACACACACACACACACACACACACGATGAACCCTGTCCCTTTAAGGATCCACTTTGAGAACCACTGAAGAAGAACGGTGTGACATCACTGGGTCTCACCTCCACCTGCAGCTGTCCGATGTCGTCGGTGGCCCACGCTTCGTCGTCGTTGTCGTAGTTCGGGACGGTGGAGAAACTTCCCGCTCTGTGCTCTGATGTCATCCCGCTGATACCGCTAGCCGGCGTGACGCCGCCGCCGCAGTCGAGGTTCTCCGCAGAGCGAGCGGAACGGATCCTCGTCTCCGGGATCCGGACGGGAACCGGAGACGTCTCAAAGCTCTGGCACTCCAACACCTCCACGTAGATAATGTAGGGAGCCTGAGGAAGAGGAGGAGGAGGAGGAGGGAGGGGGGGAGGGGTCAGATATCTGGAAGATTTTTTTTAAAAAGGCGGTAGGCTAACAGTTTCCCTCTGCTTCCAGTCTTTGTGCTAAGCTAGGCTAACAGTTTCCCTCTGCTTCCAGTCTTTGTGCTAAGCTAGGCTAACAGTTTCCACAGGAGTGTCTCCACCAAGACTCTAGTTCACCAAGAGGCTTTGAGTGTGTGTGTGTGAGTGTCTCTGTGTCTCTGTGTGTGTGTGTGTGTGTGTGTGTGTGTGTGTGTGTGTGTGTGTGTGTGTGTGTGTGTGTGTGTGTGTGTGTCTCTGTGTGTGTGTGTGTCTGTGTGTCTCTGTGTGTGTGTGTGTGTGTGTGTGTGTGTGTGTGTGTGTCTCTCTCTGTGTGTGTGTGTGTGTGTGTTACCTTGTCTTTGGAGTTCAGGACCACAGCCTGTGTGTGTGGGATCCTGCAGACGTGGTGTTGGTGCTCTGCGGTCGGCAGCCACACTCGAGCCGGCAGTTTGTGGTTGAGCAGCAACAGTTCTGAGATCAGCCGCTGAGTCTTCTGCTCTTTAGTCGGCAGCGTCGCCAAACGCTTCCCGATGCAGAGCAGAGACTTTACAAACTCCCTCTGAGGACGCAGACGCTCCAGCTGCAACAGATCAATATATTGATCAGTATACACTGTATCTTTATGGATTATTGATCAGTATACACTGTATCTTTATGGATTATTGATCAGTATACACTGTATCTTTATAGATTATTGATCAGTATACACTGTATCTTTATGGATGATATTGATCAGTATACACTGTATCTTTATGGATGATATTGATCAGTATACACTGTATCTTTATGGATGATATTGATCCTGTATTGACAGTCAGACTGTGGACATATGACGGCCTTTAGCTCGTGTTTCTAGAGTTACGTGTTGTTACGAACACGTTAGGAATTGTTAAAATGTGATATTTCTTAAAGGGAGTTTGGTGCAGGGAGCTTTTAGTTGGATTCAAACTGCTGATATGGATCATTGTTAACGTTTAGTCTCCACTACAGAAACATTGGTCGATTAATGTTTTAATAATGGGAGTATTGATTAGTGATCAGGATCAATATCAGCTGCCCTTTGTGTGTCCTAATTAAACTATAATGTTATCAATGTGTCAGTTTGCTGCTGAACTCCAGTTTTATATATTTGTATGATCTCAGACTCAGAACTCGTCGATGAGCTGGAAACATTTCCCCTCCTGCCTTCTTGCTGTCACATGACTGAGCTGCTCCTTTCAGCGTCACATGGTTTAAATCCTCCTCCAGAGGCCTCCCGACCCCCCTCCCCGCCCAGAACCAGGTCTGAGAGGGAGGGAGGGACACATGGAAACGTTTCAGAGACGTTTTGGGAGGAAATCAAAGACAGGGAAGATGTTTACATGACCCAGATTCTGCAGCACGAATCCCCAGAAACAGTTTCCATCCAGCTGACTCAGAGTTTAACCCTCCGACGGCCAGAGAGCGCTTTATGATCCGGTTCCTCGTCCACTCGGACGTACAGAACAATCAGCAGCAACAGGAAGGTTCTCTGTTTCTATGTGCTTCGGATCCTGAGCAGCTACAAACACATGCTAAGCTGCTGTTGGACAATTAGCATCGTTAGCATTGTTAGCATTAACAATCAGCTGTACAATCTCACTGATCTGAGTTCAGTTTGTCTCTCTTATATAAACGGTGTTGTTGTTGTTGTCAGTATCTGCAGTGTCTGGCTGTAAACCAACCCTCCCTCCTCCTCCTCCTCCTCACTTCCTGTCCTCCCCGTTGCCACGGCAACCCTCCACCAGGACACAGAGGAGTCCGATATCGGGTTTCTCTCTGCAGCAGGTTTTTGTTTCACTGAAGGTTTCTACGTCAGCATTTTATTTTGGTAGAGCACTTCCTGTTGAACTCTTTAGTGAATGTTAATCTGACCTGCAGTCAGATTAACATTCACTAAAGAGTAAAAGCAGAGACTGCAGCTTACACGAGCAGTGTGTGTGTGTGTGTTAGCGAGCCGACGGCTCCTCAGTTTATGTTAAATGAAGAAGTAAAGGATCAATAGTGCAGTGAAATGCTCTGATTGATCGATGTGATCAGTCTGATCTATCTAATCGTTCAGCCAATGGAGAGCCTCGGTCGAACTCCACCCGCCCACGCTGATCGGACATTAACGCCGACTCTGTGTTCTTGTGCCAAAACAAACATGGCCGCCACGTGTTTATTCCCAGCTACAATGCTAACGCCAGCATGCTAACGTGCTCGCACTAATATGCAGAGGTTTAGCAGGTTAGCATCGTTAGCCCCACCGTGTAGACAGGTGTTCTGTGTGTTTGAACAGGTGATGACAGCAGACAGGTGAAGACGAGCCACAGAAAGAGTTCTGGTTCCCCCCCGACAGAGTCTGCACCAAACTGCATTTAAAACCCGGACGCCATCAATCAGAACTATTTCTGTCATTAATGTTTAATACGCTTTAGTTATATTGATACACATTTAAAATAATTCAAATTTCATCATTGACAAGAATAAAATATATATTTTTGGGGCTTTTTATGCTTTTATTTTGATAGATCTTATATTTAACGTTATTGTCAAGTTTCTGCAAAGAGCTCAGATTTTATTGTTCTGAAGTTCTGAACGTGGAATCAGTATCAGTGTGTTACTCCAGAGCCTACTGTTCCCTTCCTGGTGTCATCCCAACAGAATAAAAGCATCTGGTCCTTACCTCCTCATGGACAGCTTCCACTTTCGGGTTACTTCCTGTCCGTCGGAGGCCAGAACCGGGTCCACTGCTCGCCACGGTGGCGTCTGACTTGGATCTCTGGTGGGTCCTCCTGGACGGGGAAACAAACACCTCGGCGTCCCCCGGTACGGGGCTGTCTGGGGCGGGGCCAGCCGTGGACAAAGAGGGCGAGGAGTCCATGTTGCTGCTGTTGTGGCGCCGGTGGCAGCGGCGGTGGGACGGTGAGGACGCCGGGCTGTCGGAGGCTGAAACCGCTCTGGGAGCCTCAGGCGAAGAAGGTTTGAGTTCGTCGGACAGGATGAGTTTTCTGAGTTTGGTGCCTCTGGAGTGACGCTGGGTGGAGATGTGCATGTCGGAGGAGTAAGCTCCCAACAGCCACGCTGTCAGCAGAGAGAAGGTTATACTTCCTCTGCACCGGTGGATCTGAGAGAGAGAACAACACTTTACATCTCACGACAATATCGTTTGTACGGAGGCAGACGGCCGCCCACCTACAGTCGGGGTCTGTCCGAGGTTTCTGACTCTTGAAGAAGTGTTTCCTTGCCCTTGTCTCCAAGGTCTTGCTCATGGTGGTACTGTTGGGTCTCTGTAATTAATGTTATAAGGAGTCCGGTCTAGACCTGCTCTATTTGAATGCGTCCTGAGATAACGTACGTTCAGCAGATCAGAACCAGAACCCGATCCCTCCCTCAGCCTCCC